GTTGGAGACTAATCAATCTTTCACACAAATGCACTACAATAACCTGTGTGTTGTGCATGTACATTAGTGTGTAGGCTCGAGTAGGTGTGTGCCACCACAGCACAACAGACGGAGCCAATGTCATTAGTATCCAGTGGAGAAAGTCTTTGATGCTGCCTATCCTTTTTCTTGTTTGATGGTGCTGGCCTTGTAGATGAAGCACAAGACTCAAATGATGCATTATGTACCGTGGCCAGAACACAGCATCAGTTAGCCTAGTCTAGTTGGAACACTCAGATCAAAGTGAGAGACCCCTACAAATCCCAGACAAGATGGAGTGGAACAGTCAACAGCTTCAAAAACACAAAACAAACTCCCCCTTCATGCACAGACAAACATGACAAGTCAAATTTAGGAGCAAGTCTGAAGACGGCAGCAGGGGTGAGGCAGCCTCTCCTCCCACAGGGACTATAAATCTTAGAGCTGCAGACAACCTCTGAATGGAATGATAGATCGAGAGGAACACTGTGCTATTCAGGACATCCTTAAATAAGCCAGAGACAAATGTTTAAAGGTTGATCACTAAGATTTTTTTTTTTTTTTTACATTTTCCTTCATTCTAGGTTTATATCAAACTCAAGTGTGTGTTATTTGCATAAATGTGACAGACCAGGTCCTACTGACCCATCTGACAAGATCAGTCGACACACGAACATGTACATTGTGTTTTGACCTACATATGTAGAGAAGACATTCTGTACTAACAAATACCAAATTTAACTACAATATTGTAGCTATATACACTTCAATCAATTTCTTAAAATCACTGTAATAAACATTTTGTTATCATGGTAAAAAGAAAATGTAAAGTCATGATCTTTATAGACCATGAAATGTATGTATGCATGTAAACAGTGGTGCTTACTCACTCACACATGCACAGAGTCATCACTTCTGGGCATGGAACCAATTCCCTCAGCATAATATTTTATAAGACATTTGATCAAATCTTTTGTTTGATTCAGCGATTTCGCTGGGACTCTAAATGATCTGGGGGGCATTTCATATTGGACAATTTAACACTGAGATTCAAACACATTAAAAAGTATGACGAGCTTATAGTGTCCTACAAATATTGGAATAATAGACACCCAGATTATCCAATACACATATACTTTGAGCACTACATGGGTATGTTGCACAAATGATCACACCAATTCTTGTAGGCATATGAAGTTAATACAAGGGATTTTTCCAGAAATGCATAAATTGTGTGTAAAAACAGCCTGCTTGCTTGGATTTGGAAATTTAGCTAGTCAAATTCGTTGACCCCTCCCTAACCTTTATTAAATATGCAGGACTTAGAGGTCAACATCTTATGCGGAGAGACAACAGCATACATTAGCAAGATTTATTCTCTTCATTGGCAGTAAATACACATGGGCCGATAACTGCGCTATATTTAGAGCTTAACAAGATATTTAGGGCTGATGAACAATAACGCTAGCCTCGAGAAACAGCATGCTGCGTCTATGTACTGACAGTCCTAGACACATACACCAGATAACTTCTCTTGGTAGAGCAACTAGGCGAGCTACAACACGGGTACTCACTCTCTCAAAAATAAAGCTTCTAGTGACTGTCAAAGCTCCACATGACTCCCTGTTTTTCCAGCAGAGACACAGAGAGTCTGACAATAGCTCCTCATGGCTGGTTAGCTCTGACTAACAGCTCTACATCACTGTCCATGTTGTACTGAGCGATGGTCAGTATCCCCCATGTCCCCACAACTCAACTGTCACATGTTTAAAGCACCCTTTAAATACAGAGCTGCCAACCGTTTCATTTAGCGGTTGTCAGTCATCATTAGCTTTAACATTGTCATATGTGAATAACTGGTCATTTGTCACCATTACCACAATGACGATCTGTCATCAATAAATACAGCTAATGTCAAGTTTGACTGTCAGGCTAATTATTCTTTATTAAATAATGTCTAGTGTGACACTTGTGTACTGTTTTAAATGTGAGCTAAATTAATTAATTAAGATCTCTCTCTCTCTCACTCGTTTCCTGTCGTCTCTCTACTTTTAGGATCTGATAAAGGCCCAAAAAATAAATGGGAAAATAATTAAATGCTTCTTTTTCCTCATGATAACAGGTAGTCTGTGATAACAATGCTTCAGTGTTGTTCGTTTCTTTAGTCATTTGGGGCACCAGTCAGGGAAATCCCTGCGCCATTACGTTAGTATTTTAATAGTATTTTCAGTATAATTATGAAAATAATTTAGGATAAAACCTTCATCATAAGACTTAAAACTTCTCTTACTCATTTCATTTGTCGCTCACATACTGTGGCATACATTACTTTGTACATATTAGCATATGCTGTATATATTTTATTATTACTATAAGGTACATGGGCTCTTATTACATTTCTATTTCCATTATTATTATCGTAGTGTAAAGTATTATTTCTATTCTTTAACATTGTGTGAGCACCTTGAACAACTGTAACAAGCACATTTTCCTTGGGGATCAATAAAGTATTTCTGATTCTGATTATACATTAATTACAAATGTAAATTGCTAATTTTCTTTCTGCCTTTGCAGCACAAAACCGATTTAAAACCACTTAGTTTTTCACAGTGTCAGCAAAATAATTTCTATTTTTTCCTGGAATCTGTTTTAACTTGACCATAAATCACATACATTTGCAATAAGCTGTTTTTGCAACACTGAAATTGGTATGTCACCAGCTTTAAAGAGCTTTACCCTTTAAGCATCCATGTTTGATTATATTAAAAAAAAGGTTGTTTGCTAAAAAAGTTGTGAGTTGCCATACAGTCACTGTCATCTTAAAAGCAACTTATCTAGCAGAGTGTCACAATGGGGGATATCAGATGAGTTAATACCAGTGGGGAAAAGGTCCCAGAGGTCAAACTGGACATAGAGGGGAAAAAAAATACACAGGGACTAACAACTAACAGCTACTAGGAATTGTAAACTAGTCTACCACTAGAGTTGTGAAGAAAATGTGATATGAGGACCAGTGATGATGGATTTCTCCTTTTTCCCTGTATTCACTCTTCATTTGTGCTGTTTTTTTCTTGTTGAATTAGATTTCGCTGCTTCCTTGCAGGCACCTGCAATCTTCAATAATCATACAAATCTCACTTGCAGGCAGAGAGACTGTGATTAGACTGCTTGATGAGGGGGAGGCTACATAAGTAGAAAGTGAGGCGGAAAGATAAGGGGGGAAAGCAGGAATGGGATACACCAGAAAGTAAAAGTATATAAAAGGTAGATGGTTTAGTTTTCATTTCTCTGTCCTTGCCATTAAACTATATATACACTCAAGAGCAAGAAAATAGCATCATAACTTACACAACAATCTCACCTCAAGATCACATCACATGATCTTCATCAGCAGATGGAGTGTCATATCTAACAATTAAGCAAACTCTATCTGGTTTTTAAGGTCAAGAAGGAACTCTAAAGCTCAACATCATCAATCAATACTTGAGTGATAATATTTGAGACTTTAAATAACATAATTAACATATGAGCCCATGTTTATTTATTTTACATATATAAACACATACCCAACATTTTTGATAAGGATCTGTTAAATAGTTTTTTTCAAGAATTGTGATCAAGAAGACTTTTTTATTCATATGCAATGAATTTAAAACTCAAACATGGTAGTGCTCAATCAGGGATCTGTGACTATCCAATACACCTGCTGGAAAAGAAGGAGGACTGAGTCCAGGACTTTGGCTCTAAAACAAGGCTGTTCATAAAGGTAAATCCAACTATATCTATCTATATCTTCATCTCCCTGACTCGTTCTATGAGTGCTCATAGTCTCTCACCAGCACTTTCAGAATAGCACAAACATTCTTGTACACATTAATGCTTTTACACCTCATACACCTGCCAAGGAAAGAGGCCATAAGAAAGACAAACCGGAGTCGGTAAATGTTCAAAAATGTTAGGAGTGTCCTTCCTCATTAACTTTTCCTGAAAACTGTCTCATGTGGGTACACCTATCATACAAACACGCACACCCACACACGTCTCCCAAGCACACACACCCACACGTATAGAGCAGGGGGAGGTGTGACTTTAAGTCTCCTCTTTTCTATTCCCTGGAGCAAAAAGTCAGGGTCTGGGCTGAGGTGATAAGTGCACTTGGATACCGCCCAACAAGTATACACACATACTCACACAGAGAAAAAGTCACAGAAAGTCACACTAGAAAGTAAATACAGCTGGATTTCTTCATTGAAATGCAATTAAATGTGTGTATAAATTTGATTTTGCTCAGGGACTCATTTGAAGAAGACCACAAACACACACAAAGACACCATCATCACAATAAACAATAATTTTTATAATGTGAAGTAGTGTTACAATTTCTGAGCTTCCACAGCGTGACAGAGTAGCAGAGGAATGTATCCTCATACAGAATGCATGCTCATGCATACATGTATCACTGCGCTGTTTAATTGGTATACATCCCCCACCTGAGGGGCATTTATAGGAACTCAACAACATCCATGCTTACCTAAAGTGACTCAAAGCATGCTACAATGACACAAGCCTGTATCCAGAAGCTGCACTTAAAAGTGATTACATGGTGCACTGCATGAAAAGCTGTAGCAGCTATTGAAGCTGAGAGGTGGCTCTGAATTAGTACACGACTAACAAGTGTATGAAATGACCACCTTTTTCTGTGCTTACAGTAGAAATACATTTATGGGCTCTAAATCATAGGGTTTATTTTTGTTGAGTGTTTTAATCTTGTATTATGAGAGCCAGTGTAGCATAAAGAACACCACATGGGGGAAAGGACTATTTTTGTGATCAAAGGACTGACAGAAAGACACTTGCTGAAAGAATTATATTAATTGAGTAATTTATCTAAAATGAGAATAAAACAATAGAAAGAAAGGCTTTCGCAATTGCAAAATTAGATCTTTACTTTGTGTGTGCCATTGTGCGTGTGTTTGACTGACCAGTTTCTTCCTCTTGTCCTGCTCAGTTGGTGGCTCCTCATCATCACTCAGCTTGGGCTCCTCAAAATGGCTCATCAGCATGCAGCTGCAAAAACAATAATATTCAACTCAATATTAATAACCACACATAAACCTGCAAAGTAGGAGACAATTTCAGAACAGACAGCATGCACACACACAGGCACACAAAAAAGGGGGAACCTTCTGGCACTCTGGTGCACAGCTCTGCTTGCTATTCATATTGCTTCATCTGCATGCAGAGAGAATTATGAACAAAACCTTTGTGCTGAGTCCAGAGTCTGTGTATGGTCTTTTATTTCCTTTGTCCTTGTTACTTAATCCTTATTGTGAGTCGAGATAAGGTAGTGGGGTTGCGAATGTCACATTTTGTGTCTTTGACCAGCAGCATTTGATAACTCATGATTAGAAATTCTACTTAAAAAAGCAGCAACAAGGAATTTTCATTTCTTGTTCATTTTGGCGGGCCCTGTAGACAAAAGTTTCAAAGGGAATCCGACCGCATGGCAGGCATTAAGAATAACTATACAGACCCAGACAATCTTCTCACTGATAATCTTGTGTTCTAATGTAGGTATAGAGGCATCAGTATTTAATTTAGACTGTTTCCCTAGTTGAAAACTCCTTGTAGCAGGTTGAAACTTTTTAGGAAATGCAGCTTAGTAACTACTACTCTCTTGGAGTGAACGTGAAAATATGAATCTGCAGTTCCAACTGGTATCAATGTTTTTGGACACTGTCATAGCAGGCAGCTGTTTGCAGTAGTGAAACACCAAATGACAGAGAGACAAGGTTAGAGACTAGCTGGTGAACATATTGGAGCATTTAGCAGCTAAATAGGCAGATATTTCCCTCAGGAGTTGGTGACTGACGAAAAAGAGCTAAGAGAAGGTGAATATAGGACTTTTATTTATCAGCTAGACAGAAACATGTATGATAATGTAACTCTAACGTCTGGATGTGTAAATGAGCAACTGTTTGCTGTTATTGTAGGCTTAAAGTAATGTTGTAATGCTCTATTGAATAATGAAAACCATATGGCCACTTGACTACTTTTTTAAAATGTAAAAACGTAAAACTTTTGTTTTCCTGTTTTTCAATAATTTGCTTTTAGTAATCAATTGTTACATATTGGCCCTGTACGGTTTACTACAGTACAAAAGACTTCTAAAATCTTTTATGGAGTTTCAAGTGACAAGTGATTGAATTTCTTAAACAACACTGGAGTACCATGCTGAATTGGTTTGCCAATTGGCATGTTATTTTACCTACCGTAATTTCCGGACTATTGAGCGCACCTGAATATAAGCTGCACCAACTAAATTTAAAAAGAAAAAAAGAACTGTACATATATAGGCCGCACTTGTCTATAAGCCGCAGGTGTCCACGTTGTAACATGAGATATTTACACAGAAAGATGGTACGCAGAAAGATTTTTAAAATTTTTTATTAAATAAATGCTGCCGTCTCCAACGTCTCACCATCTATTCATTGATGCCAAGCTTACGTGCAGCAGCTCTTCTTCGACAGCCAGATCGATTAACTTTAACTTAAAAGCTGCATCATGTGCATTTCTTCTTGTGTTTTCCATGATGAGAGTTTGTGCAAGATGCACAAAATGACTGAATGAATTGAATGAATTCAAACTGAATGAATTCAAAACACAATCAAACTAGCGGCTTCCTCAGCGCATTCTCTCTTCCACCTGTCTGTCTCACTCTTGCGCTTCCTGCTAGAGCGCCCCCTGGAGGATGTTATTATATATTCTTATTCCACAACACGCAATAACAATTCCAAACCACTTATGATAACAGAGAAATAAATGTAAGGTTTGTTTACAGCCACTGCTCTCTGTGTCAGTTGATTGCATTTACAAACAGTGAATAAAACTCAGAGGAAGCATGCATCCACAAATATGTTTGTCCGTTATGAAGCACAACAGTGAAGAAAAACTATTGCAACACATAACTGATAAATAAAGAAACATTTATAGTAAACTTTCTATCTAATTTTTCAGTTTATTTCACACTGGCACATTTTAGGAAGGTGCCAAGTGTTTTTGACAGCAGAGAAAAGGTGTCTGCATGTAGATTAACATCTACTAAGAAATTAGCACCATGCTTATGGAACAGATTCAGAGTTGAAGGGGGGCTGTGGTTAGCAGCTCCTTTGATAGTGAGCTCCTTCCAAGTGCTTTCTGGGCCATTAGTTTTCAAGAGAAATATATCCTGTCCAAAACTCCTACTCGGCCTCCTTCAGCACACGGTCATGATCCATGAGTAAGGGATTGCTCATTCATTTTAAAACTTTCTTGAGAGGTTTGTTTTTGATAAATTCATGCTTCAGCAGCAAATCTGCAATTGCACCGCTTCAAGTACTTTCAAAACAAATATTTCGACTGTCTTTACTCACAATGCAGGAGCTTTGTCAAAAGAATAACTGGAGGGTTTAAACTGTATGATTTTTAAGTGTTTAAGCCTTTGTTTTTCTTTGTTTGCATGCATACTCACTCTTTGAAGGTGCCTGTTTCGGGATCTTCGGTCATTACATCATGCAGCGCCTCGACACAGATGTTGATGATGCCACAGAACTTGTCCTGGATCACACTATATAAAAATATAAACATAAAGATATATATGGATTGATATGTATCATTCAAACACACACAGAGATGAGTCCAAAGAAGCGCAAATGGTCATCAAGAGCAACATCAATAACAGACAGCAATGGCCTTGGTTAAATTCTGGCACGGTGAAAGTGATACATTGTCTGTCAAAAAACATATGGCCATCCAGAAAAAAAGGGTATGTATGCCATCCATCAACTCACACAAGAGCACACATGTTCAGATTGTTCTGTCTTTATGTATCTCACCCTCACCATCTCACCTTTTGGAATCAACACACTTGGTTGGAACATTTCAATACAACAGTGTTCATAAAGAGAGAGGGGTAGAGGGTAATAAAAAGCTCAAACCATCATGTGGGTAACAGTGCACTGAAAACATTTCTCTACTTTTATGATCCTACAAAAACATATTCCCATTGCAACTATCAACTGCATATGATACAGGTGATCTTCCAGCTCTAAAGGCAGTTTTATTGTCTCAAGGCACACATTCAAGTGTGCAAAATAAAGATCAATGAAGCTTATTGTCTTAACGCACAGCCTTGTGGGCTGAGTCTCAAATTTTTATCATAGCAACTACGGCGATTCTTCCAGAGAAGTGGCCTTGTAGAGCATAGGCTTGCTGAACCGGCAGATGGCTAACAAAATCCACCATCAAAGCCTCGCGACAAGCAGCAGTCATTGATGAATTATTTGAGTCATTCTTTGAAAGCACTGGATAGGAGGTATGTTTTCCCATGTCAATTGGAATGAAAGCAGGGAGGGAAAAGAATACAGAGACACAAAGAGTGAGTATGGGCACTGATGCATCAAAGGTTCTGTCAGTTCAAGTACTTGGCTAGGTAGACCCCAGGAAATGTGGCATAGAGCTCACTGAGCATGAAGTAAAAAAAAAAAAACAGGAAACTTGGTGCATGACAGACACACAGATCTGTCTTATTTCGTATGTGTGGGGATTGCTCCTGAATTATATGCTCATACTTTTAGAATAATGCTATCAAGACTGAAATATGTAAAAGCTCAGCTATAGCAATAGGGATCAAATCTAGTCAGCATATGTCAGTGACAGTTTCTACACAGGCATGTGAGAAAAGTTCTATTTCTCCAACTCCAAATGCAGATACACTCACACAAATATGTATGAGTACCAGCATATAAGCATTAAACAAAAGGAGAAATTAATATTTAAGGCTAATCAATAGTAAAAGCAATATTTGATAAACTGAGTGGAAAACCTATCCTGGTGAATTTTAAATAGTTCTTCTTTTCAGTCAGTATCATTTCACAACTATTATCCAGGGTGAGTAAAATATTTCTGCCCTAAATTTCTTAATAATAGTCTCAAATTGGCAGCCATGGCAACAACTGAATGCAGGTATCGTATTAAAGATCCCTTATCACACATTTAACCATGTCTGTCAATTCTAATTCTATCCAGCCCAACGCCTCTCCGGTGATTACTTTCTAATGGCTGACTAGTGCTGCTGCTTCGTGCCTGCCATTCAAATCAACGTAAAAGGAAACAAGATTTGAAAGGTGACAGGCTGTGTGCGAAAGACAAACTAGTTGCAGCAACAAAATCCTCATCAGACTCAAGTGTTTCGGTGTCAGGGAGACAGTGACCAGTGAAGGCTACACGCAAAATTACGTTTTCAAAGTTAATTTATTGAAATCTGAGTGCAGATTCTTTTCCTGCGATAAAATTTTTATCATTAAATCCTGATGGTCTAGGGCAAAATCTTTAATCCTTCAAAAGCAGTACCACTGCTATAATACGTCTTCTCGACTTTTAAAATGTGTATGTATTGATATATTACAGCTAAGCTTGTTGCAAATGGATTTCAAATAAGCATCCCTGATTACATTTGATGTTGTTGAACATCATTGATTTTGCATCATTAAAGTAGAACCTAATTAGCCCAAGTGCTTTGGTGGTGTAATTGGAGAGTGCATAACTCATGCCAGGGCTAAAGGTGGTATAAATCGTCTTTAGGTTTGCTGCAACTGTTGCATTAGCAAACTGAAACCAACAGAACAGATCAAATGTCTGGATTAAATTTAACAAGCAATCAAAACTTTTCATGAGGCAAAAAGTATTTTGTGTCTTCTCAAAGCTGGTACATCATGTTCAGAGAAATCAAATATTCTTCCTGCATACGCCGTTATAATCACAATTATACAAAATGTGAGAACAGCCAATCCAGGCAAGAAAGATGCATATTGATTTATGAAGGTCCTTGTACGTGTTGTCTATTGACATTTATAAACAGAAGCTTTGCCATCAAAAAGCAAACTGTCAGTGTTCTGATGACTAAAGCAGTCTTCGGTTAAACTGACTCATGGCTATGCATGTTATAAATACAAAATTAAACGTTAGTGACCATAAATTGCACAAAAGGTTTCATAAAGTAAGAAGTATATCTTCAAAGGATAAAGGACAAACGGGACATTAATGCATTCAAAGAATGAAACCTATCCAACCTAAGTTGTATCACAAGTAGTTGACAGATTTAATAAAAAGCTATCTGAAAAGTGTAAAAATAAAACAAATCTGTCATGGCTATGACAAGCTTTTCTCACTGTTGAGCATCAATACAATCATTTGAAAACAGAAAAGATGCTATTATCACTAACAGCACCTTCTGCATACTGTGTTACATGATATGCTGTGACAGCAACAATAGTTTTTGACAACTGATCAACCCCTTACTCAAATGAAGCAGATACAAACGGCAAATTTAAAAAAGAAAGTTGATTTCTCCTATTTAAGTTTCTTGACTGGTCCACCAGAGTGATGCACCCTATCCAACAATGAGTAATAATAAACTGAATAAATCCCTATGTATCACATGCCTGCAGCTGTTTCTCAGCCCTCTAGCGGGGTCTTTTCATTTTATGCCTTGAAGCAAATTCACAGTGCTGCGTTCTACTGTACAGCTATATGAAAACAATAGTGTAATAGTGGTTTATATTTTCTCTTTTAGAGAATCACAATTAAACAGGTAAAGATACTTACTGCCGCAAGTCAACAAAATGTATATGCAAATGTCATCAGCATTACTACTATTATTATGCAAATGTTGTTCCATTTGCAAATATTGTATCTCAACAGAATGATGATGATCAGTTAAAATTGTAGTCCAAATAATGTTTTGAAAATGTAGCATTAGCTTAATCAACACTGAAGCACAGACCAAGTGCAGTCAAGGTCACATTACAGACTCTCTGATGTTAATATGGTTGCTAAATAAAATCAACATCAACAATTCTCACTAACAGAGATAAACTCTCTTTTCCTGTGTCTAATTTCCAGAGAGTTTACCTCTTTATGCAAGGAATGTATATAATATCATTTTATATTCTTAATGTCCACAGACCAAGTGCAGGAGGTCAATCTAGACATCGTCATGTTTCTAATGGGATAAGAACTAAAACTAAAAATGATAACTGCAAAACAAAGTGCGTAAATAATGATAGAATATCAATTGATGGGCTGCACTTATCAGGCAGCTCGGTTTAATCACATATTTAGGCTATATTGTTTCCCGACAAGCTCTTATCTCCTATCTTGAACTTAGAATGATGAATTTAAATGTATTATATATCTACAGACGCCACCTTCCAAGAAGGCCACCATGTTTCAAGTAGCCTGGAAGGGACAAACCAAACACTGGTTTGAAATAGGGCTGTTTGCGTTTTTTGCGTGTTTCGTGGACACCTTCCAATTTTAGTTATGATTGTATGTGAGAATGTTGATTTGTCATACAGCACTTAACCAGCCAAGGCTGTCATAATCAATTGCTGTCGGAGAGCAAGGATGGGGGCGTAACAAAGGATTTCATGCCTGTCTACATCTATGATTACCATATCTGGATTGCAGAAAACTGAGCTTCCCAAAATCTTGATTGAAAAAAACATACATCACCACATAGTGAAATGGGACATCACAAAGAAGTTTATCATTAAACTCCACAATGAGTCCTTTGAACTACTTCAAGAGAGGTTTCACTCAGAAAATTAAATGAGAAAAACTCTTTTGATGGCAACTGAAGAGTATATTTTGTTGAAGGTTTGCTACACAGCCTTCCCGTGCACCTGTCCCCCCCTTAGGTAAAGAAAACAGCCTGATGTGTGATGACTAAAGCAAGAGAAGAATCACAAACTTGAGCCCATCTCTCAAGCTTATAAAATGCTGGTTTAACTTCAGTATTTGATCTAGTCCAGCCTCTAACTGACAGGACAGCTCAAGATAGACAGGAAGGAGAGAGATGGGATTACATGAAGCAAAGAGCCACAGGTCGGACTTGAACCCATGGGGAGCTCCCAAGGCGCCCTGCATAATAACACTTTTTGACATGTAGAATTTTGTATTTTAAATAGACACCCCACTAGGTTCCCACTTACATACTCTGCTTACTTTCAATCTCAGATTCAGTCAACAGAGCTGCTGAGAGCTGTATTGCAACAGCCTTAAAAAACATTTACACTAAACAACATCACAGGTTTTGATCTAAGAGGGCTTGTCTTCTCTGTGTGTGTTCATGTTTGCCTCTTCACTGACACGGTGAGAGATGTTGGCCCTGATGGTATTGCCTCTTTGCACCATAAGCCACTGTAATTCAACTAGCTGTGGTCAACACTTGTGGTCCCACACACATTAAGGGGCATAATTGGATGCACACACTTAACTCACAGAAGTAGGCGCACACAAGCACAGAGAAATGTCTCATCCCCTTGGTAAAACCTGACCATTTACAGGTTTACAGAGAAGCCGTAAGTTAGACAGAACAAAAACTCATAGAACATGTTTGTGTGGTTTTATGTAAAACTATGCATCACCACCCATCTAGAAGTGCACCCCATTCTGTAGGGCATTAAGTTGTCTTTCACAACACACTCCTGTATACACTATGTAAAGCATGTCTGGAAACCCCACTGCCTACATATGCCTGCTTTATGTGTGTACGCTGTGCCACCCATATGGTGTTATGCTGACACTGGTTATGCTGCACATTATGGCTGTACGTTAAAAAGCTGTTATCTTTTTCAAACGTTTTAACAACAGATAATATTCTCTGTTGTTACTGACAACCCATTCAACTCCACAGACCTCCCAGAGAAAGATAATTCCCCCTCTATAAAGACAAACAAAAGATGAATAAATGTGTTAAATATGTCTTTTCACTTTCCCCTTATTTGCCCTTATGTCAGCTGACAAATGACAGGGTGAGTGCTATCCACCTTTCATCATCTGCACACAAATGAATGATAAATGTTTCTCACCTGTTGTCAGAAGGTAGGAGGGAAAGCAGAGCCAGCGATGACAGCTTCCTCCTCTCAGGCTGAGTGATGTTGTCCATGCGGTCGACCCACATCTCTATCACATTGCCCAACAACTGGTCCATCTGATGAGAGAGTGATGAAGGAAGAGAGATGGACAGGAGGGAGAAGAGAAGGAGGGTTAATATAAAAGATGAAAAAATACATGGGAAAAAAAATTGAAAGAGGCCAAGAAAGAGACAGTGTTTAAAAACTCAAGACAGTTTACTGATTTTATTTTAAAACATAAGAATATGCGTCTACAGTTGTCATAAAAGTCAGCAAAACTAACCTTCCCAACTTATTCTGACTCATTTACCACTCTGTCTTGTCCTCTATTGTCAAAGAAGAAAATGAGGGAGAGACAACTTAAAGAGACATCTCTAGGCCTTTCATTTATTTAGATTAAGAGCGCTGTGTTCACAAAGCGTTTTCTTCTGGCAGAAAAACCCTAGGGAGTGCTAGGACTTTTTGAAAAGAAATAAAGCTATCACATCATACAGCTCAGGACTGACCACAGTCAGAACAAGCTTCTCCTTCATTTTCTTCATTACCAAGGTAAAGAGTCCCCTACCTGATATATGATTGGTCACCTGAAAAGGAGTGAAAGTGACAATACCAGAGCCTTTCTTAAAAGTTCAGAGATTTTCAACTAGAAGCACTGGGAGCAGCCTCACAACAAAGGTTAGGAAGTTTAAAACAACCCGCTGGGTGCAGCATTTTTCCTCTGTCGCATACACTCTCTCCTCAATGGGATTAATTGAAAAAAAAGACACTGATGTTCAGAAAAAAACCCTTTGTAAGCGCAGGTGCTAAAACAGTAACGCCAAAACAAGGCAAAATCAATCTTGCTATGGGTCAGAGAAAATCAACAATGTCAAGAGTTTCACAGTGAAGGGGTACGGCTCTAAACTTTAGAGCATAAGAATGTTACCATTTGCAATCCCATGGCTCATTACGTTTAGCCTCGTTCAGAATGATTCCCCTTTTAACAGGCACTTTACATTTATGTCTCTCACAGACATTCAAAGAGACTATGCTGAGAAGACAGAAATGAAGGGCAAAAAGCACGTCTCACCTTCTGGCTACACTCAGAGGCCATTTGAGTGAGCAGGGAGGAGAAGAAACTGGAGTTCTGGAGCAGTACACGGCCCATGATTCCTAGGTAGGTGGACATCACCACAGGATATCTCTGTACAACACACACGCACACAGTGAGAACACACAATCACACATGCAGCTGCAGAAACTGTAACCACGCACAAATGCTTTTTCATTAGCAAAGGTCATTAGGCATGATAAGATGAAAGAAAATGGGTTCACTGATGCAGCAGAATCCTGGAAATGCAATCTATGCCGTTCAACTGAATCAATAAATGCCACTATATAGTCTTCATGAGAATTCATTTCTATGTGACAGAAAAGGACAAACTCAAAGAACATACAGGAACATTCCATCATCAAATGAGTATGGTTTAATAAGGTTAAGTGTTTAAACATTCAGCAAAAGAAGATGGAAAATGGGTGAAAATTTCACCGTAGATAATATAACATATCTTTACAGGTCCTTTTATGTACTCCCAGTCCAGATCAGTGCAAGATGGTAAGGTAAAACTCACCTCGCCATCCACAATACCTCTGAAGACAGCTGGCAGCAGGGGCTGGAACATGTGGGCTCCCAGTATGGGGCTAACCTTTAAAGCTATCTCTACCACCTGCCGAGACACAGGGAGAGGGAGAATGAGGGACAGTACTCAGAGGGGGGAGTAAGGAACAGTAGCAAGGACAAACAGACGGGGAGAACCTCAGGAGGGAATCAGAGCGGGAGTAAAGAGGGTGCAACAACAAAGACAGTAAGGATTATAAAGAAGATGATGTAAAGGAGCTTCTTTTGTAAGAGAGAGTCAAAAAAGTATAGAAAATCCTCCTTTTAATTGAGGATCTGGCCTACAGCATGTGGCAGGCAGAGTTAGTCCCTAAAGTTTGGTTCCCCAAGAAATTTGAATGAGCTCTCTGTCAGGCATTAAAACTGAAATAAAAATAATTTTTAACATTTTAAGTACAGCAAGAAAAAACAAAGCCACAACATAGCAAAAGAAAGATTTGCGAGTTAAAGATATAGCGATGGAAGCACCGGGGAATGCATGTCTGCTTTCATATTGTACATACAGTACTGCATGTAGGTGTGCACTAATAAGGTACACCTAGCTAAAACTAATATAGCTTAATACAACAGCATTCAAGAAGGTTATACTATTCAGTCTTAGTTTTCTATTCTAGAAAGGTTCAGTAATACATGTGCTTTACTGTTCAGAAATATAGCTGAGTGGTACAACATATAGGTTCGCGGGTTGAATATAGTCAAGAATAAAAGGTTCCAAATGATTATGCAAATATGATTTCAATTAAAAAAACATTTTTTGTTTTTCAATGAAAGTTTTCAATTGTGCTGCTTCCCATGTCTGTTTAGATCACTGGCATCAATCTTAGACAGGTTTGTCTTTATTAGTTTGCCAGGTGAGCCTAATTAATGGGAAACTATTTAAGGATGTTGTTTATTAAGCAAGTCACAGGTTTCATGCAATATAGGGAGGAAATGAAATCTTTCTGCAGATGAAAAGCATGAAATAGTGCAGTATCTTTCAATAGGTAAGATACCACAGGATATTTTACGAAATATTAAGAGAGATCATCGTCCTATGAAAAGATTTGTCTGATTCAGAGCACAGACGGGTTCATTCAAATAAAGGCCTGTTAAGGAAAGTTTCTCTAAGGCTAATTCATCGTATTAAGTGAGTAGCTGTATAAAAGCCACTGATGAGTAGTAAAAAAGGTATTTGAAGTTGCTGGTGCCTCTGGAGTCCCAAGATCCTCTCGACGCAGGATCCTCCAGAGGCTTGCTGATGTGCATAAAGCTGTATTTCGGCCACCCTTAAACAATGCCCACAAGGAGACATGATTGCAGTGGGCTCAGAAATGCATGAAGACTAATTGTCTAACAGTTTTATTCACTGATGTATGCCGTGCTACACTGGATGGTCCAGATGGATGGAGTTCTGGATGGCCACCATGTCCCAACAAGGCCGCAACGTCAGCAAGGAGGTGGGGGAGGGATGTTTTGGGCGGGAATTATGGGAAGTGAGTTGGAGGCCCCTTTAAGGTGCCTGAAGGTGTCAAAATGACCTCTGCAAAATATGTGGAGTTCCTAACTGCCCATTTCCTGCCATGGTATAAAAAGAAGAACCATGCCTTCCCGAGTAAAATCATTTTCATGTAACACAACGCACCATCCCATGCTGCAACAAATACCTACCAAATACAAATGAGGCCTAGGCTGCTATGGGCATTAAGGGAGAAAGAATCACGGTGTGGCCACCATCATCTCCTGACCTCAACCCTATTGAGAACCTGTGGAGCATCCTTAAAAGGAAGCTCTATGAGGGTGGGTGGCAGCAGCTCTGGGAGGCAACTCTGGCATCCCCAAAGGAAATACAATGGATGAGAGAGTTGTTAATGTGATATCAAAGAAGGGCTCCTATGTTAATATGTAACTCGATCTTTAAAGATGTTTTTGATTTAAATAGCTTTGATTTGAGAAAGATTATCCCCTTAATGCAAAAAATACAACAGATTTCGGTTTTCAATCCTTTAGAAACTATTAAGTGTTTTGAAACTCTGTTTTGCATAATAATTTGGAACACTGCATTTTGAGTTATGTTGCAAAAAATGCCATTGTCATCATTGGTAATTGTGTTTAATAAAATCCAGATTATGGTATAATTGTTGAGGAATAAAGAATCCTATTGAGTGCCAATTATATCGACTATTTAGTAAGAAAAAGAACAAAAACAGTATATGCACAATAATTTGGAACAGTGTAATCTGACAGGACAGGTACTGGATCTAAACCAGTAAAGGATAATCCTATCCTCATTAGGCTTTCTCTGATTAGACTATGACATAAATCCAGATCACACCAATGATGATGTAACACTGTAACGTTACAAATGGCATTTTCGCAAATTGAAGCCTCAAATGAGAATATTAAACTCAAAGGTCAGCAACCAAACCCGAAGCACAGACAGACAGTGAGATGCTTTATCTGTCCATATCATGCATATGAACTTTTCAAAGAAATGCATACTGATCACTCTGATCCCTTTGTCCCCAGGGTGTCCATGTGTGGTGAGCTATTGTTTGCCCATGTTGTGTAGGCTGAGAGGTTTATTGTTTGCTGGCTCTCCTTTCCTCTGAACAAAGGATTAGCAGGAGCCAGATGTGCAGTAATGCCACTGAGCTTTATTGAGCTAAAGCTCTATGGCCATTCTGCATATATACATAACGATCAGCCGTAACATAATATTACGACCACTGACTGGTGAAGTGACTAACACTGATTATCTTGTTATCATTGCACCTGTCAGTGGGTGGGATATATTAGGCAGCAAGTGAACATTCTGTCCTCAAAGTTGACGTGTTAGAAGCAGGAAAAATGGGCAGCGTGAGGATTTGAGCGACTTTGATAAGGGCCAAATTGTGATGGCTAGACGACTGGGTCAGAGCATCTCCAAAACTGCAGCTCTTGTGGGGTGTTCCCGGTCTGCAGTGGTCAGTACCTATTAAAAATGGTCCAAGGAAGGAAAAGAGGTGAACCAGAGACAGGGTCATGGACGGCCAAGGCTCATTGATGCACATGTGGAGCGAAAGCTGGCCTGTGTGGTCCAATCAAACAGACAAGCTACTGTAGCTCAAATAGCTGAAAAAGTTAATGCTGGTTCTGATAGAAAGGTGTCAGTACACACTATACATCGCAGTACTGTGTTAGCCTAATGCTGATAGCATCTAGTTGAAAATGTAATAAAGTTGCTGGTAATGAGAACAATCACAATCACAGCCAATTATCTTTTAGGGAAAAACTTGCTAACATCCAAACATTTGCACTTGAAAAGGCGTTGGTCAAAATACAGTAGTTTAAATTTTTTATATCTTTTGGATCTCGCCAACCACATGCTCAACAGCATTCAGTCGCTTTATTTCAGCGACTTCAACAAACGGAGTAAATTTGAGCAATCACTGAAATGCTGTAAAAACATGTTCAGATTATATCTATCTTATTTAAAAAACTCACAACCGAACTACATTCTGCAGTTAGAAATATAACTGGAACTGAAATCCCAGAGTTACCCTGATCTCAGGATTAACAAACTAAAGTTTTCACTAATCCTGCTTTCTAAAACAGAGCCCAGATATCCCTACCTGAATATCTAACTTATCCAGAAGTATTTTATAGTCAAAAGACAAGCCGATATTAGTGCTCAGATGATAATTTATTAAAGAAGTTTTGGCGCTATTATGAGGTTAAATCCTACAACCCATTTCTCCAGACTGTGATTTAGAAAGTTAAAATTAACATAAAGTTCATTATGTTGTTTAGTTAATAGCCTCTCTGCCAAATCCATTTTATTGATGTGATATAAAAGGTATCTGGCCTAACAGAGATGAAGAGTTAGCTGTTTGAGGTACCCTCTGTAACACTTAATTTATCAGTAGCAAGGCTCCTCTTGCATTTATAATCTGGTGTCAGTTCACAAGCAGGATTGTCTGTCTGTTTAGGTTTGTGTGTCTGTGTATACAGTGCTTTGTGCCACTTCGGGTGCACCTGCTATTCACTGAGCCACACAGACAAACCAAACAAACCCTGTGGTGGAACTTAAGGAGGGAGGATTAAAAAAAAATTAACCATGAGGAAAGCGAGACAGAGAATAAGCAGAAGTAATTCTGTGTGTGAGAGGGATAGGGTGACAGTACCTTGAGCACTTGGACCTGTCCCTCATTCGTGATGTCTTTCAGCAGATCACAAAAGGATCGACACAATGATTCTGCATAGTTCTGTGAGGGGGGGAAATATCATATTAACAAAGCTAGTTCTAAACAATGTATGTAGATTTTTGTGTGTGTGTGTGTGTCTGTGTGTGTGTGTGTGTGTGTGTGTGTGTGTGTCTCTCACCTGCAGGAACTCTGTGGCAGACAAGTATATGTAGGCATTAACGATCTGAAAGCAGGTGCGTAGGTTCTCTGAGCTCATCTCTGGAAGAGAATATCAAATGTTACACTTTGCCAAATTGGAGAATTGATGGAGGCAGGCAGGGGGGAGAAAAAAGCAGGACGAGAGGGAGGACAATAGCATTTGTTGATGTATGATTCTGCTGAACACATTTAGACTGCAATGCATACTGAATGGATGGTTTTTCTGGCTTTGTTCACTGGGAGTAATCATTTCAAATATATGTTTTGCTTTTGGAAATGTTCACATTTTGGAAATGTGTTTACAGAGTGCGGTTAAAGATATTCTTAATCTTACCCACTGTGACTGATAATAATACATGAAAAGTCCATGGGGAGAAGTATTTTTAACAGGCACTGTATATCCAATTATCTACAGAGTACAGAACAAACTAAAAAGTGAAAATGAGGCACCTCACACCAATAAAATAATTCAGTGAAAAAGTAGTACTCATTTGATTTTCCACAAGATGATAAGCTCACAGGATACGTATAACTAATTTGGTGAACAATAACTTTAACTAGAGTTAATATCTATTCTATCCATGAAAATAACCACTAAGGACGAACACAGTTTCTTTGCTTCTGATGTATTATTAAAACATCCAATTGAGAGCAACTAGTTTTGCTCTTACATGCTGAAAAGGAATTCAATCAACACAAAAAAAGAAACAAAATGGATTTATGGTGACTTTTAAAAAAGTGAAAACCTGCTGGAGGAGCTTTTTTCAACCACCACTTTAAAGATATTCATGATGCAACAAACGTGCATTGCAGCAATAGCTTTACAAGTGGCTGCTTATCTGTCAGCAATAATGAGAGGTTGTGAGGATCTATTAACAAGAAGTACAAGCTAAATTATTAAGCATGCTCTTGGCTCTGCATCATTATTCAAGCATTAAATATTTTCTACTTTGTTTCTGATGTTTGTCTGACCTTGTCTAAATTCATTTTAAACACATCCTCACATATGAGTGCTGGATGAGATCTGTGGGTTTTTTCATATTTTGGTGCATTATTTAAACTTGAAAAACAACACAAAAAACTTGTATTATTTTATTTTTAACTTTAACGTTTATTTATACTTAAACCAGCAAGGGCAAAGAGGTTATATCTCATGAGGCTACATTCAAACAAGATGAAAATAGAACCATAACCTAGGTATAAAAGTAACAGAGACAAAAACGGCTGCTGTAAAAGTGCGATAAAAGAAGCCGGAAAATGTCTGTATCATAGAAGAGTAGACACGCTCTAACAAGCTCAGCAAGTGTAACTTCAAAAACAACTCACTCTGAAAAAGTTGACCATGAGGCATTTTGTACAGATATAGTAATGCGTTAAGAAGGAAAAATGCCCTCAAGGTAACAATACTAAACACATAATACTTTGGACCATTTGCAGACAATTATACAAAAGAGGCTGGAGAGCAATGAATTGACTTTTGGCCGGTAAGTGTGTGTACATGCTAAAGTCAGAAGCCAATGTAGTACCATGGCTCTAATTGCTAATGGCCTCTTGATCCATGGAGCCGAGAGAAAACAACCCTCACTGACACGATCAGTTTTGTAATAGGTTTGGTGTTGCAATCAGAAGTGGGCGCTGAGTGAACCAAATACCACTCAGAAATAAAATGTGATATTATGTGCTGTACACAGAATGCACAGAGTTTGTGTATTTTACGTGCTCACATGTGCAAATGTGTTGGGAAGGAGGAAAGACAGTATTTTACAACAGCTTGCCAGGCCGTGGGTTCAACAAAAAAAAATACAATAAAAAGAAGGCTGTAGAAACAGACAAACATGACAAAAGTGAGGAAATATACACTACAACTCAGGTTTCCACAGTAGGATATAAGCTTAACGGTAATATAAACTGACATGGTAACAGACCTCAACACCTAGAATAACCTCTGTGTGGCCCTTAGAAATATACATAGAGACACAAACACTTACACATTAGACACACAGACAGGTGACAGGTGAGGAAGAAAAGAGAGGTGACTGCGAGACAGTCACTCTAAAAGATGAGAAGACTGATGGAACTGAAACATTCGCACACACCTGCATGCCGACACAAACACCCCCACCCACACAGTATCTATACATACACCAAGACTAACATCTGCATGAATAATTTGAAAGTAATACAGTCCGACAGTGTAGCTGACTCTAACACCTAGAATAGTTGTTTTACTTAATACAAGTTGACAGTGTAGCTAATTCTAACAGCTAGGATATCTGTGTGTGCACACAATGGCCAGATATTGTGGAAATATATGCCTATGAATGCATACATATACAAAACATTCCAGTTCCATGTTGAGCAAAGTAAAAGCTGTATATGCTATATCAGAAAATATAATTATGTATTCATTTGTATTTGGGTCAGGACCTACGAAAAGGGTCCTAAGGGGCCACCAGATGATTCAGGAGATATGACATAAATACATACAAAATTATGTTTTCTGACTTTTCTAGAAGTTCTGCTATTTTCTTGTGATAAGCTGAAAACTTCACAAAGAAGTGTCTCAAAATTAGTGCAGTAGAAAGAGCATTATCCATGTATGCTTGCTACCTTTGTGCCTGTTGGGTGAGTTTCTCTTTCAATGGTGCTTGCTCTCTTATTTCTCTCTCATTCACTATTTAGCGTTTTTTTTCCCCTTCTTCCATTATATTGAGTCTAGTGAGGCAGTTGTTCTTTTAGATTACTTGTTCAAACATCAATAACAGTAAACAAATCTCTCACGCATGCCCACAACAGCATTTATTCATAAAGCAACACAAACAAATGGCGAATGAGTCCTGAATGCTCCATTGCATTTATTTCTACAGTCCAACACTGCTGTATGTATCTAACACTGTCTTGTTATTCTATAGTACAGAAGCGAAGGGGGATACATCTACATTATTTAACTTACTCTCTTTCCAAAGCTAAGTTTAGAACAAACTTTCTGAATTCTAAAGTACCTCGTTACACTTCTTTAAAATCCAGCGTGTTCTCATCAAGGTTTTTATGGGAGTTGATTAGAAGTCCGTGGTGAATAGTAGTAGAGCAGGTCCAGTCAGACCATGCTGGTTCATACAGGTAATATTAATGTTGATGTATGCAATACATTTTCTGTAGCCATCTGCTAGCCACAGTAAGGTAATGAACATAATGTTTGCTGCCATCTGTTATCTGTGCAGGTACATAATGTATTCCAGGCGGCTATTTAGTCAGTCAATCAGCCCACATGAATATTCAACACTATAAACATAGTATGAAGCGATATTAAGCTGAACACATGCAGTATGCGGGAATGTGAGTGCAGATCAAGACGATGATTGCTTTCAAAACCACATAAGCTACAAACGTGTCCAAGAACATGGGTGAACAGAGACAACAAAGAGTGATGGTCAAAAATGTCAAAATGACATCAAATGCAGGAAAGCGATTGTTCTCTCTACTGTGACTTTATGCACTAATACTTTAGCATGGGTACTGGAACGTACAGCATCATGAGGAAACGCATGAAAGCACTGCTACAATAAATGCTTTCCTGTGGTCAGGCCAGGCCGTTTTCATAAAGAATAAAGCAAAGGCAACAGATTGCTTAACAGTGGGTGAACAAGGACACGCAGTGCCATCGGACAAGGAAGGCATGACAGGTCTGCAGTGCTGCAGAGAAAGTGAATGAATGATTATGGTTCTTTGTTGCGTCTGTAGACACAGCAATGGCTCCCAATGACCATTAAGGGACAGATATTAGAACTGTGAAGAAAGAGCGAGTGAGTGCAACTTTTTTCTTAAAACTTAGAAGCTGCATAATCAGCAACTGTATTGCATTTACATTTTTTCTCTCACCTAATATTTATATACAGAGCATCTACCAAGCTGTTTTAAGTATAGTTTGTTTACTGTACATCAAGTAAAAACCAATCCTCTTAGTGTAGGAAATGGAAATTTTTCAGTGTATAGTCACCTCCAGTCTGATGGAAATCTGTTCAAACTGGCAGGCAACTGTTTATTTGGCACCATCCTAGTAAAAATCAACATTTGGGATCTACTGAGCATATAAGTAGATACATTTGGTGTTGTTGGTGTTTGGGGTTTATACATATTCCACATATTGACATATTGAAACTGTTGTGTAAATAAATGTCCCCATCAACTTTAGTGTAACTGATGTTGAGTAAGTGATTTACTTTTTTAATTTAACTTTTGGGTGGGAAATTGTCATTTAATAAAAGGGTGCAACCTGAATACTGCAGCTCAAATTAACAGTGGCTCTCATGTAATCACAGGCTCATTAAGCATTTTTTCCACCCTGTGCTTAAGAAAATTTAGACCATATATTCAAATTTACTCAACGGGACTGAAATCCTTTTGTTGAGTCCTACAGTATTAATAGTTTCCCTTCAGGGGACCTCAAGGCAAACAAGCAAGGTGAATTTCCAATTCTATTGACAGCAGAATGACACTTTCATCAACAAATATTAAATCAATTTCAGGTGGAAGTAATTTCCACTAGCTTCAATACCTGTTCACAATGCCAATTTACAGCAACAAGAAAAATACTACACACAGGCTTATGAAATGGCAGTTTAATACACACTAAATACACAAGAATTCCTTAGCAACCACTTCTCTATTATTAATTGACCAGCAGATTAGCATAATTTACATACAATACATATATTGTGGGCATATGCTTACACTCACCACTATTCATAATGTATTCTTATTGTGACTGATTTCAGAAATAAAATTACTATTTTGTGCATGTTGAAGCAAAGCAGAGGGAAATACAAACAAAAAGTTTAGTGCAGATTTAAATGAAGCTTTGAGGTGATTGATTTAAAAGTGTTGAGGCAGGTCTCACAGCTTCATATCTCAAAAGAGTGAGAGATAAAAGCAGAAGCTGGCTACAATATGAGTAATCTGAGAAGCTCATTTATATTGTGATGAAAATCTGCCTTTATCCAGACTGTGTAACTGAAACAAATCGAAAGTCTACATGAAGGGGAGGCTTCAAACCACTGGTG